TGTTCATGGTTGGTTTTTGTCAAAACTAATGGGAGTCCTCTGTGCTTCCTGGATTTTGATTTCTGTGTCTTTCCCCAGGTTAGGAACTTTTCCACTATGATTTGTTCACATAACTCTTCTACCCCTTTCTCTCTCTCTTCATCTGGGACCCCTATGATTCTGATGCTGTTCCTTTTTGATGAGTCACTGATTTCTCTAATTCTTAATCATGCTCTTTTGCCTTAATCTCCTTCTTTTTTTCTGCGTCATTGTTCTCCATAAATTTGTCCTCTGTATTGCTGATTTGCTGCTCTCCCTCATTCTATTCTTGCTGCTGTGGCATCCATTGGAGATTGCAGCTCAATTATAGCACTTTTTATTTCATCCTGACTAGCTTTTATCTATCCAGAAAGGGATTCTAATCTGCAACTCCAGCTAGTATTCTAATTATCGTGATTCTAAATTCTGGTTCAGACATGTTGCTTGTATCTGTGTTGATTAAGTCCCTGGCTGTCATTTCTCCCTGTTCTTTCTTTTGGGGTAAATTCCTTTATTTCATCATTTTGAAGGAAGAAAAGGAATTAATAAGGTAAAAAAAATTAAAATTAAAAAATTAAAAGCAACACACAAAAATCAAATAAAGGTTGCTAGGTCCTAGGTGTGTTCTGGTCTTGTTGCTAAAAGGAGCTTGATAGATCAGAGAAAAAAGGGAAAGATAAGAAAAGAAAAAAAAGGAAAATGTTTGAAAATTTGAAAAAATGAATACAATGAAAGACTAAAATGGAATGATGGAAGTAAAAAAAATAGAATTTGAAAAATTTACAAAAAAGTAAAAAAATATATAGAAAAAAATTAAAAATATTTTTGATAGAAATGGAGAATAAAAATAAATTTTTTCTCTTTATATATTCAAGAATAAGTAAAGAAAGGAAAAAAAGTTGAATAGTTGGTTCAGCAAACAGACTGAAGTACGATTGAAATTACATCAGTTTCCCCTAGAAGTCAAACTATGAAGCATTTTATAGTCCATAAACTAAGCAGGTGGAGAGACTTGTGTTGTTTCTGGAGAGTGAGGTTGGTCCAGTTGGCCAGGGCTTGGTGTATCATCTCTGTTCTCTATTAGGTGCCGCTGCTTAGTTTACTGGGGTGGATTGCTGTGGCACATGTAGGCGTGAATGTGCTTGCGTGGGAGGTGTGAAAATGGCATCACCCATCTACCCAGCCTCTAGTATCAGAACTCTGTGCTCTCCCCAACCAGCAATTGCACACCCCTCCTTTTTCTCCAGCTTCCATCCACTCCCCCGCTTTTACACTGTCCGTGACCAAGCCACCAGGTTGCCTGGTGGCACCTCCCTCCTGAGTTTTATCTCAGATGTGGGTGTGTTTCCCCACCCCTCACTTCTGAGGGACTGTGGCTTTGACCAGCTCAGACCTTCTTGGGAAGGGTCTCACTGAGCAATGGCTGGGTGCCGGCCCTACCCCAGGAACATTCCAGAGACCATGCTGCTGCTGATGCCTGGGGACTGCATCTGGGTGCCAGCCCACCCCAGAAAAAGTTCACGTGGTCATGTAGCAGCAGCATTTCAGGGATTATGGAAAATCACACACATCTGGCACCAGGCTTACCCCTTAACATCCTTGTTCCAGCACCAGCCAATGTGGTTGTTGTAGGGGGTCCACTGGACCTTTGCCTGTGGGGAGGCTTCACAGCCTCTACCAAATGTCCTCCCAGCAAGGGAACTGCCTCTCCCTGTGTGACCCGAGGGCCCTGAGGACCTCACCCACTGCTCCTGGGGATTCACCCTTCCTACCAGTACACCACCACGCATCAAGCTGCAGAGCTTCAGACTCTGGACTCCCCCCGCTTATAGTCTTAATAGAATTTAAATCTTCTCTTTGCTCCTTTCTCCCTTTTTGTTCAGCCCCTTGCATACTTTCTTTTCTCTCCAGCTGCTTTCGGGCAGGGGGGATGCTTTCTGTACTCTCCCCATCTCCGTCCTCTCTCCACAAGCAAAACCAGCTCTGTGCCCTCCACAACTTTCTCCTCCAGTTCACCTCTCCGTGTTGAGTACCTGCTGAATTATCTGGTTCAGGTTGTGCAGATTGTTGTGTGAATCCTCAAATCAGTGTTCTAGGTGTGCAGAATGGTTTAGTGTTGATCTGGCTGTATTTCAGGACAAGGGATACAAAAAAACTTCCATGCTCTTCCACCGTCTTGGTCCCTCCCCTGGCCTGTTTTGTTTTTTTTGTTTTTTTTTTTTCTTTTTAAATAGGTCCTCGTCAAACATTCCTGGCATGGACATCCCACGGGTTATGTTGAGAATATGTCAATATATTAATGTTAGAAGACACCAAATGCTAGGCCATCCCACTATTGGGGATGCCAAGCTTGACCACTTGGTTAAGGGAGTGACTGCTGGGGTGCCTGGGTGGTTCAGTCAGTTAAATGTCCAACTTCAGCTCAGGTCATGATCTCGAGGTTCATGAGTTCGAACCCCACATTGGGCTCTATGCTGACAGCTTGGAGCCTGCATCAAATTCTGTGCCTCCCTCTCTTCTCCTCCCCAACTTGCATCTGTCTGTGTGTGTGTGTGTGTCCCTCTCTCTAAAAATAAAAACAAAAAGAGGGTGAGTGGTATAAAACTTAATTTTCCATTTTGTAATTGGAAAGTAGATAGTGAGGTGATACTTTGAGGCCCTGTGACTATCCTGTCCTCACCAACCTTTCAACCAGTTGTTTTTGTATCCATGAACGACCCTTGCTTTCATCCATTATTACATGGAAACTAGTTATTAAATAGTGATTTTATAATTCTGTCATTCCTTCAATAGTTAATAGCTGTTATTAAAAAAAGGAAGTTTTGACTGAGCTCCAAATCGAGTTGAAGTCTCTCAAATAAACAATTTTATTACATTTTTTTCACAATCAAATTATTTACTTCTCTGGTTTCCTAACTTAGATAAGATCTGAGCAAAACAGTTATTTGACATTTTCAGGCGTATTTTTTTTTAACGTTTATTTATTTTTTAAGGAGAGAGAGACAGAGTGTGAGTGAGGGAGGGACAGAGAGAGAGACACACACAGAATCTGAAGCAGGCTGCAGGCTCCAAGTTGTCAGCACAGAGCCTGACATGGGGCTCAAACTCACAAACCGTGAGATCATGACCTGAGCCGAAGTCGGACGTTTAACCGACTGAGCCACCCAGGCACCCCCAGGCTTATTTTAATGATAGTTCTTATTTATGATGGTCAGTTTAATTTTTTATCTCCAGGAAATAATAATGGGTTCATTAAAAGTGTAATACCCAGTGCTGGAAGTAATACCAGAATACAGTGCTGTGGGATTGAATGGTGCATACCTTTTCCTGCTATGTAATCATCTGCATTATGTATTCCAAATTCCAAAATACTGATTTCCAAATACAGATGGTCCCCAACTTATAATGGTTTAAGATTTTTCAATGATACATTGGTGCAAAAGTGATCACTTTTGGTAGAAACCATGTTTCACGTTTTGAATCTTGATCTTTTCTTGGGCTAGGAATGGTAGAATATTCTTGCAGTGCGAGATAGTGGCAGTGAGCCTCAGCTCCCAATCAGTCATGTGATCACCAGAGTAGCCAATCTATACACTTCCAACCATTGTACCCATACAAACATTGCATTTCTCATTTTTAGTACAGTATTTTATAAATTACATGAGATATTCAATACTTTGTAATGAAATACGTTTTGTGTTAGGTGATTTTGCCCAACCATAGGCTAATGCTCGTGTTCTGAGCCTGTTTAAGGTAGAATGAGGTATTAAGCTCTGATATTTGGTAGGTTAGATGTATTAAATGCATTTTTAACTTAATTTTTTCCAACTTGCAATAGGTTTGTTGGAAGGTAACCCAACTGTAAGTCAAAGAAGATTTTTATAGGCCTTTGGGATTCTGCTATTTTTCAAGTATGCTACATTATGGTGAAAGGTCTATTTTTATGGAATGGCATATTCATATATATTGTATCAATAACTAACATATCTGGCACATAGTAGATGTAATTAATGTTATCTTTCTTCTTCATTTACTCTCTACCACTCCCAGTCACAACACATCTGAAAAAAAATGTTTCTTTTTTGAAGACTAAGTTGACAACTCTAAGGTCTATTTTAGAAAATTTCTTTTAAACATAAGAAGGCATTTTGCCTGTTGTGTTTATCTTAATTATTTGAAAACATATTCATATTAAGGCAAATTCGTTAACTCATTCTATATGTGTATGTAAAAATGTAATGATACATGTATCACCTGGACCCTTGAAGTCGTGTGTGTGCTTAATATACTTGCCCTTACTCCAGGTCACAGGCTTATATGAGAGATCAACCCAGTCTAGAGGGACCTTGGACTCTCTTTAGTCAACTAACAGAACTTGTCTGGTAACTCATGTTGGAGCAAAGGCAAGTGTTCTAGAGGTCCCAGGACTAGGAATGTCTTAGGTCACATTAAACTTTTCTGGTGTCATTTCTATATTAATTCTGCTGAAAGTACCCTGCCAAAATAGCTTCCTACAGCAAAGTCAATTTACTGTCCTCAAGTAGAACATGTCATAATGATGACAGTAATCATTTTTTTAAAATATGTAATACTTGTATATCCCATCAGTGTGAGATCTAATTGTAGCTAGTTTATTTGATTTATTTTGATAGACTTTATTTTGTCAGTTTAACAAATTCCAACACTCAATTTGTAGCAAGTCAATGATATCAAAATAATTGGTTGACAAAATGTTATGCCTTTTTAAGCTACCTCATGTCTCCCAAGTTTCTATGTGTAATAAAGCACAAGTATAATCCATGGAAATTCACAGAAATATTGCTTATTCATAGATAATTAGTACAGCAAATATCAATATTAATAAATTATAGCTTTGTCATAGCATTTTTATTACTTTAGGAGAGAGAAAATAAAACTGTGCCACAGAAAGATTTGCACATAATGAGATAACATTAAACTACTTTTTTCTTCTTTACACCTAGAGAATGGGATATTATAGAAACTGAAGAGCATTATAAGAGCCGATGGATATCTATTAGGATTCTGTATCTTACTATGTTTTTCAGCAGTGTAGGTAAGTATTAGAAATTATATAGAATTTAAAAATTTCAGATAAAGTATCTTATTTTAATGTCACTTCATTTTTTTAATTATTTTGTATTTTAGTAAAAATCACAATATAAAATTTCCCATCTTACCCATTTCTAAGATCAGAAGTGTTACATATATCTACATGGTTAAATAACCAATCTTCAGAATGTTTTCATCTTGCAGAACTAAAACTCTTTACCCATTAAACAACTCCTCATTTCCCCCTCCTCCCAGGCCCTGGAAACCACCATACTTTCTGTTTCTTTGAATTTGATGATTCTAGATATTTCATATAAGTGAAATCATACAGTATTTTTCTTTTTGCAAATGGTTGATTTTATTTAGCATAATGTTCTCAAGGTTCATCCATGTTATAGTATGAGTCAGAATTTCCTTTCTTTTGAAGACTAAATAATAGTCTATTGTATATATGGTGGGGAGGCAAATCTTTTCCTCTACTTTCTTAGGTTCTGTAGCTGTTACCTTCAAAATAAAGCAATGGAAGACAGATCAACAAGAAAAAAAGCTTATACATTTATTTGATGTTAGTTATTTTTACATTATACAGACCTATACACTATACATTATAGAAAAGTGAAAACTCCAAAGAAATGGTTAGAGTTGGGGGCTTATATACTATTTTAACAAAGGGCAGCAATTGTAAAGAAATGACTAAGGAAAGGAGTTCGGGCTTTCTCCAGGAACCCCCTACTGTCCTAATGTATGCCTTACTAGAGGAAAAACAACCTTAGCTTGACAATTCCTAGGCCTCTGTTGTATTATGAATCTTCTTTAACATATGAAAATCCCTTTAGGAACTTCCTCTTGGCTTTATCTTCCCCAGCTCCATGATATATAAAAGGTCACCTTTATAACACAGCCCTTTCTGCCCATGGGTCCTGTCCCCGTGCTTTAATAAAATTACCTTTTTTGCACCAAAGACATCTCAAGAATTGTTTCTTGGATGTCAGCTTCGAACCCCCACCATTCAAAAACCCCATCAAAGCCACTAACTGAGCTGGGCTCTGCACTATAAGTGCAGAGCCTGCTTGGGATTCTCTCTCCTCTCTGCCCCTCTCCTGCTTGTGTGCTCTCTCTCTTCCTGTCTCAAAATAAGTAAATAAACATTAATAATAAAAAAAAAAAGAAGTAGAATTGCTGAATCACATAACAGTTCTATTTATAAGTTTTTGAGGAACTGCTATATTGTTTTCCATAACTGCTATACTATTTGTACATTCCCACCAACAGGCAGGGTTCAAATTTTTCCACATCCTTACCAACTTTTATGTTTATTTAATATGAGTCATTCTAATGGGCATGAAGTAGTCTCTCATGGTTTTTTTGGCTTGTATTTCCCTAATGATTAATAATGTTGGGAATATTTTCATATGCATATTGGCCATTTGTATATCTTTGGGGAAATATCTATTAAAGTCCTTTGCCCACTTTTTTTTATTAATTTTTTTTTAATGTTTATTTATTTTTGAAACAGAGAGAGAGAGAGCATGAACAGGGGAGGGTCAGAGAGAGAGGGAGACACAGAATCCGAAGCAGGCTCCAGGCTCTGAACTGTCAGCACAAAGCCTGATGCGGGGCTTGAACTCACGGACCATGAGATCATGACCTGAGTCGAAGTTGGACGCTTAACTGACTGATCCACCCAGGCGCGCCACCTTTTGCCCACTTTTTAATTAGGTTTTTGTTGTTCAGTTGTAGAAGTTCTTTATGTACTCTGGGTATTAACTCCTTATCAGATAAATGATTTGTGAATATTTTCTACCATTCGGACTCTTCTTTCTACTCTACTGGTTGTGTCTTTTGATTCACAATAGTTTTTAATTTTGATGTAGTTCAATGTATCTACTTTTTTTTTTTCTTTTGCTGCCTGTGAACTCATTTAATTTTTTTTAAGTTTATTTATTTTGAGAGAGAGTGAGCAGGGGAGGGGCAGAGAGAGAGAGGGAGAGAGGGAATCCCAAGCAGGCTCCACACTGTCAGCACAGAGCCCGAAGCAGGGCTCAATCCCATGAGCCTCGACATCATGACTTGGGCCAAAATCAAGAGTCAGATGCTTAACTGACTAACCCACCACATTGACACAAATAGTAAAGCAAGAATCTTAATCTGTATACCTTGATGTATTTTAATCTATTAACATTATTTCTGAAAATATAGTTACTAAAAAGTAAAACTTCGTGAGGAAATTTTAATGTTAAGAACTGTACTTATGTTAAAATGATAAAGAATAAAAATATATAGGAGTTATCAATACTGTGACAATTTTTAAAAAAAGTGTTTCAGGGAATCCATTCTTTTTCCAAGTTTAGATCCTTTAAGTCTATAGGCACAGATTTTACAGGTGGTATCTTTTCCCTGACACAGATTTACTGAAGGCCATTTTACTAAGTTTTTAAAACTACTTTTCTTTATCTTTTCTATTTACCCCAGTCACTCTCTCACACTGAGTAAAAATATATTTTAAATAAAGCTAAAATGAAAGAAAAGTACAAAATAAAGGATATTTTCAACAATTCTTTGTAATGCAATTTCATTTTGGATTGTGTATCTATTAGGGTGCCTTCTACAAATATCAGGGGAAAAATGTTGATTCAAATTGGCTTAAACGGTAATTTATTTTTTCTTGTAAGATACCCATAGTAGGACAACTCCAGGTGAAGTTCACTGAGGTTTTGGTTCTGTTTCCCACTACATATTTTGGTTTTCTCCTCTTCTGTGCACTGACTTCACTATAGCAAGGTTGCAGCAGCAGCCCAAGGTGTCACATCCATTCATGATAATTTTTATTGATCAAAAGGGACTTTTTTTTTTAAATTTGCACAGAGATAAGGAGTCCTTTCTTAGAGGTCCTGAAGTAGACTTCCCTTCCCTTTTCACTGGTCAGAACTGGACCCTGTCAATTTCTAAGCCCATCATCAACTAGGATAGTGGGATTATCCTGATTGAATTCTTTAGACTAACTGGACTTACCCTCTGGAATTTGGGTTGGAGACAGTTTCTCTTAAAGTCTGTGGCTTTGTGGAGGAATGATGGATACCTGAATAAAAATGGGATTCTATCAGGAAGGAGGATTCTACCTACACAATGAGTGTTGTGTCGATAGCAACCTCTGCAATAGCTTTTAATTATTTTCATTTAACTTCCATGGGCAGCTCAGTCAGTTGGGCATCCGACTCTGGCTCGGGTCACAATCTCAAAGTTAGTAGGTTCGAGCCCCTTTTCTGTCTCTGTGCTGACAGCTTGGAGCCCAGAGCCTGCTTCATATTCTGTGTCTTCCCCTCTCTCTGCCCCTCCCCTGCTTGCACACGCGCCCTCTCTCTCTAAAAAATAAATATTAAAAAGTTAAAATAAAATAAAATAAAATAAATAAAATAAAATAAAATACTTCTAATTTATGGGGCACCTGGGTGGCTCAGTCGGTTAAGTGTCTGACTTTGGCTCAGGTCATGATCCCGCAGTTTCTGAGTTTGAGCCTCTCATCGGGCTCTCTGCTGTCAGCACAGAGCCCACTTCAGATTCTCTGTCCCCCTCTCTCTCTACCATCCCCCACTTTTGCACACACTCTCTCAAAAATAAACATTTAAAAAATAAAGTACTTCTAATTTATTTAATAACAACAGAATATTATTCAGCCATAAAAAAGAATGAAATCTTGCCATTTGCAACAACATGGATGGAACCAGAGTGTATAATGTTAGGCCAAATAAGTTAGTCAGGGGAAGACAGATACTATATGATTTTGCTATATGATACTTGCTCAATTCAAGTATGTAGAATTTAAGAAACAAAATAAATGAGCAACGGAAAAAAAAAAGAAGATAGACAAACCAAGAAATAGACTGTTTAATGTTTATTTTTGAGAGACAGAGAGAGGGAGACACAGAATCCCAAGCAGCCTCCAGGCTCTGTCTGAGCTGTTAGCACAGACCAATGCAGGACTCAAAACCACAAACTGGGAGGTCATGACCTGAGCAAAAGTCTGATGCTTAACCGCTTAACCAACTCAGCCACTCAGGCACCCTGACTCTTAACTATAGAGAACAAACTGATGGTTATCAGAGGGGAGGGGGAGGTAGGAGAATGGGTGAAATAGGTGATTGGGGATTAAGGAGTGCACTTGTCATGATGAGCACTGGGTAATATATAGAAGTGTTGAATCACTGTATTGTATACCTGAAACTAATGTAGCACTGTATGTTAACTATACAGGAATTGAAATAAAATAAAATATAATAAATAAAATGAAATACTTTTAACTTTTAGTACTCCATTATCTAAAATTAAATAATTTCCATTTTAATAGCAAAAAAGAATTATTTTAACTTTAGATTTTAATTAGCATGTTAAACATTTTACCTGTTTTTAAGTTTCTTGATTGTGAAATTGAGCCTTGATTTCAAATATTAGTTTACTCTTTCAGTCTGCTTTTCATCAAAGTCAATGTCAATTCAAAATACACTAAAATTAAACTAATAATTAAAGTATTTTTAATATAAGCTTTCTAAAAAGAATGAAGTACTGATACTGGTACAACATGGATGAAGCTTGAAAACATTATGCTAAGAAAGATGCCAGACACAAAAGACCACATGTTGCCTGATTCTATTCATATGAAAATCTATAGAGACAGGTAGATTAGTAGTTGCTTCAGGCTGGTGAGCAATAGGATGGAAAGCAGCAGAATAGTAGCTAAAACGTCCAGAGTTTCTTTGTGATGTGACTAAAATATTCTAAAATTGACTGTGGTGATGTTGCACATATCTTTGATTATACTAAAACCCACTAATCTGAGTGTTTTAAATGGGTAGATTGTATAGTATGTAAAGTATATCTTAATAAAAGTGTTTTTTTTTAAATGGCCTTTATAGAATTTTGATTGAATATGCCTAACATTTAAAATTGACAGATAGGATTGGAGTTTATCATTACAGCTCTTAAGCAATAAAGGGTAGCAGAGATAATGAGTTTTCTTTTAAGGTATAGCCATCTTGAAGCCTCCTGGTTCTTTATAGCCAATTTCTCCTTTATATGATCATTTTCCTTTTCCTAGATTTCCCTACTGTTGATAATCTCTGCCAAACAACACACATTAGAAATCTACCACTTCCTCTTTAACAGGGTAGCTTTTCGTCCACTCAGTTCTGCTTGTAAGAACTTACAAAGCTTTCAGTAATTTATTTCTGTTTACAGTAAAGACGTGAATAAGGAGAAACAGGTCCTCTGCTTTTATTACCCCAATTATGACCAGGGACTATAATTACATATAATTTTCAAGTCTTTAATATTTATTTCCCTTCTAATAAATACAATTCCATTGCTTAATAAGTTAAACATTTGGGGGAATAAATTTGTAAATTGAGAATGATATTTTAAAACCCATGTTATAGTTTAAAAAATTGTATCTATAAATAGTAATGACATCATTTTAAGTATAAATAACAGGGTTTGCTTCTTTACAGGATTTTCTATTGTGATAATGTCAATATGGCCATATCTCCAAAAGGTTTGTACACTTCAATCTATTATTCTCTTAAGTAGCTATAGTAGTAGTAACTCTTACATAGTTAAGAGTTTTCTTGACAGTCTCTTTGGTAGTCTATTGATTTAATCTTTACTAGCATGACTTGAGATAATAATTCTTCCAGAGAGGCTTATAAGTAAGGTGATCCAGTGCTTCATTGTGCAAACCAGAACAATCTTGAAGTGAAGGGAGCACTATACCAGGAAAACAGAATTATACCTGGATAGTCCTAGACAAATGTAGATGTATGCTCACCTACTTATTAGCCGCTTTCATATCCCACCAATGCCCCCTCCCTGATAAAAAGGAAACTAAATTACTTATAGTCTGAATTCCTGAATGGTACAAATGACATTTCTATGGAATACTTTTGTGCTTTCCCATAGGGTTGTATGGTTGACATTGTGAAAAGAATAGATAATACATGTATTTCGATGCTGTGGTTACTAGATGGGGAGGAGGGCCTAACAAGAAGATGCAAGTTTAGTAGGTACCCTGGCATCAGTTAATCATCAAGTCCTGCCAACTCTTTAAAAAAAAAAATATTTGACATATAACATAATATAAATATATGTCAATTCTATCTTAAATCTCCAGGAATGAATTTACTAAAAATCAGTATATAAGTTGCAGACGTTATCTATAACAGTATTTCAGTTAAAGTTCTTGATGGAGTTCTCTGTACTCTCCAACCTCCTATTCACTCCTGAACCTGCTACAGTCTGATTCACTCCTCTGCTACCATAAAACTGCTCTTATTAAGGTCTCCAATGATTTGATTACTGACCAAATAGATACTTTTCGGTCCTTTGTGTGACATTTGGGTAGTATTTGACATTGTTGACCTCTCCCTGCTTCTGAAAACCCTCTCTTAGCTTCCGTACATTACTCTGTCCTGGCTTGGCTCTTTAAATATTTGTTATTAAATTCTTTTATGAGTTTTCTTTACCAACTTGTTCCTTATATGTTGGTTTTTCCCAGAGATTGGGCTGTGTGTCTGTGTGTGTGTGTGTGTATGTGTGTGTTGTAGACTAAATCCTAAGCTTTGGCCCATATTAGATGTATAGCCAACAATTTATTAGACGTATCTACTTGAATTAATCTAGGTTCCTGGGGCCTTTATAAATTTTTCTGCATTTTTTTCTGAGATGCTGTCCCTCCCTTCATCTTTCCTTTCCTCTGTCCTTCCCTTCCACCCTTCTTCCCTATTATCTTTATCCCTATTATTTATTATCCCTATTATTAAAAATAATGTGCCTGTGATACAAGAAGCTTATTGACATTTTATACTTAATTTTAGATTTTTTAGTTTTTATGAATTTTTAACTTTTTGAAAATGCTAACTTTTAAAATATCTGATATTATAAAAGGAATAAGGACAAAAATACAAATTTCATTTTTTTTACTGAGTTGGTGCCATATTCACATTGCTATTTTGAAAATAAATAAAAATTTATATGACATGAAATTATTAGCCATGATGTTAAATATTCTTTCCTTACTGGCAGAATGATTAGAATTATAGCGGAAAATTTAACAATTTTAGAGCAATATTTTCTTTGCCAAAAATATATTTCCATGTATCAAAACTCTTTATTTCTATGATTCCTGTATCTAGTCTGTTTAACCTCAAAATTACCAAAAGAAAGGTATTTACAATAATTAGGTCTACTCAGCACAGTATGTTGAATTTTGAAAAGGTACACTCCTTTCTCCAGATATTTGAAAGCTCTTCAAAGGTAAATTTAGTGAGTACATGAACTTGTAACTAGTTCTTTGGCAATACAAATAAAACAATTTCAATAAAAAACCTTTCTCAGGTTATTTCATAATAATAGTGAAAGCTCACTATGTGCCAGGTACGGTACTAAACTTTTCACCTCTTGATATTCATAGCAACCCTATGAAATGATTATTATCTATCCTGTTTGACAGGTGAAGAAACTCACAGTCAGAAAGTTTGGTAGCTTGCTCAAGTCACTCAGCTGGAAGATGGCAGAGCCAAACCTATCTGAAACAAAAATCTGGCTCAACCACAGTGCTGTGTTACTTACTACCTTAAACTGTTTAATTCTTAATTTAAGGCTTCCATCTTTTTCAATAGCATGTTGAAAAATATTATTTAGCTGAAAAGCCATCTGTGACAAAGATAAAAAGCTAGAACACCCCCCCACCGACCCAAGAAAAAACTCAGAAAACAAAACAAAACAATAAATTATTTGTCTGAAAGGAATTTGGCACCAGTGTAAATCTCTGAAATGTGCTTCTTTCTGACCCTGGCTGATAGACAACCATCAGCCAAGTGATTCCTGAGGTTCTGTTGCCCAGAGGTGGGATAAATATCCAGGAAGATTCATATTCTTAAGACTAGATTTTGAATTGGAAGGATAGGTTATTTTACAGGGCTAGGGAGATAGTGGGAATACTAATGCATGAATTATAATAAAATATAATAATAGAACTGACATATTAGTAAAAACAAAATTCTAAGAAATACTAGTTTTTATATCCTATAGGTAATATTCATTTAGTGTATATATATGCTGACATTGCCCTAAGCACTATACATTGCTCAAATAATTCTTTTAATAACTCTGTGAAGTTATCCTTATTTGACAGATAAAAAATTGAAGCATGTGATTTTTTACCCCCAGCTACTCAAATACCTGATAAGTAAAATCTGGAAACTTCACTATGATGAAACCTGATTTGGAAAAATTGTGTTAACTCATCTTTTGTATCCTTATTGCCTAGCACATTTTTTGTCACAGTAAAGGACTCGGTGACTGTTACTTGAATTAATAAGCAATCATCTATAAATAAAAGTTAAAAATGCTTGGAACGCCCATATTCATATCTTAGTTCCCATATCAAAGCATGAAGATTTCCAGAACTTTGACTTTGTCAATATCATTAACATGTTTATAAAGTAATGTTTGAAATTCAATACCATGTACTTTGGAGTGTATGGTTTTCTTTCTTCTTTTCTTTTTTTTTTCCTGAAATGACAGGGATGGGGGAGGGCTTTTGTGTTTTGTTTTTGTTTTGAGAAAATACAGTTCCAACTTTTACTGATGTGTACCAAACCAAATAAGTTAATTACAGATGGTTACTATACAGTATACGTGAGTAAAGGTCTAAAAGTATGGGTGTGTGTGTGTGTGTGTGTGTGTGTGTGTGTGTGGGAGAAAATGAGAGAGAGAGAAAGAAGAGAGAGAGAAAGAGGTGCAGGCAGACAGACAGACATGGGCTATTAGGGGGATGTTGCTAACCCAAACTAAAATTCTGGAAGACTTTAAAAATCAGTTACACCAGAGCTGAGTTTTGAAGGTCTGTAGGAGTTGGTTTCCTGAAAAAAAGGTAGGGGCCAGGGAGTAGGAGGTTGGGAAGGCATTGCTGGTAGAGGGGGACAGTAGAGAAATCAGTGCAAAGGCCTGGAGGCAAAGAATTTGACTCATTTTGGAAACTTAAGACAGTTCTGTGTGACTGGAAGTTAGAATTGGGGGAAGGGTACATGCAGAGAGATGAGGCTAGAGAAGAGACTGTGGCCAACTTGTGAGCTAGTTTTTCATAATAAGCAGTTTAGATTTTATCCCAAAAATGGTATGATGGAGATCACCAGAGGTGGCCAGAGGACCAGAAATGAGATGCTGTTACTACTGTTAAAAAGAGAAACACACATGAGTGCAGATAACAGTTTAATTACTGAAGTGACACCTGTTGTAGTGTAGAACCTGTATCTCCCAAACCCGTTTTACTTTCCTATTACAATTCTAGCAGAATTTTCTAACAGATTCCAGTTTCCAGTCACCATAAAGAATAGTATCCAATTAAAATAAAAGTTTCCATTGGTCTCTGGCAAATATCATTAATATTGTTAGAGCTATCCCCGAGAGTCAGCTTCTGTCCCTGAAACACATACTTGACTATGATCAATTGATATCCTGAGAAGACACTTTCATTCTTTTGCTTTCAAACCACTACACATTTAACATTAAAATTGAGTTTTCACTGCTTTTTTGAAAATTAATTAAAAAATTTTTATGACATGAAGTTATTTTATATTTTTAATAGAGTGATCAAAGGAGCCAAAGGTAGTATGGGTAGAAAATGAAAACCAGTGTGCCTAAAATAAGAGATTTAAAAAAAAATTTTTTTAATGTTTTATTTATTCTTGAGAGAAAGAGAGACAGAGCATGAGTGAGGGAGGGGCACAGCGAGAGAGGGACACAGAATCCAAAGCAGACTCCAGGCTATGAGCTGTCAGCACAGAGCCCAATGTGGGGCTTGAACTCACAAACCGGGAGATCATGACCTGGGCCAAAGTCGGACACTCAGCTGTCTGAGTGAGCCACCCAGGTGCCCCAAATAAGAGATATTTTTAAGGCTAGAACTTTAATATTGTGTATCATTATATGTATTCACTCTTATTTCTCATCCCCCACAAGAAAATGTACCTAAACATTTTCATTTTAAACTATTTAAAAATATCTTTAGAAAAGGCCATGGTTGTCTTTAAGTTGTTCTAACACTTTATATATGTTTAATCTTATTTCCTAAAAATTTATTTACATTTTTTTAAATATTTATTTTTGAGAGAGCGAGCACAAGGAGGCGGGGGGGAGCAAAGAGAGAGGGAGACACAGAATCCGAAGTAGGCTCTAGGCTCTGGGCTGTCAGCACAGAGCCTGACGTGGGGCTCGAGCTCAGAGATTGTGAGATCATGACCTGAGCTGAAGTCGGAAGTTTAACCGACTGAGCCACCGAGGCACCCCTTATTTCTAAAAATTTAATGGTTCTTATGTTTCCAAATTACTATATAGCCTACCATATATATATATTTTTTTAATCTGTTAATTTATTCCATAGTCCCTTTTGTAAGCTGAAATTTTCTGTTTTTTGAAAGAATTTTATTTTCTGAATTTAATCATTTGGTTCTCTCCTCAACATCTATCATGACACATAAACCCTCGTTCAGTGGTAGAACCCTGAATCCTCCATGTTGAAAGGAAGAATTAATAATAGGTTTAATGGGAGAATTATCTTTCAGCTTTTGTGTTTTTATTCTCTTAAACATTTGACTATTGTGCTCAGTTAAAAAAAATAAAAATGAGGCTCCTGGGTGGCTCAATCAGTTAAGCCTCCAACTTCAGCCCAGGTCATGATCTCCTGGTTTGTGAGTTCGAGCCCCCTTTGGGCTCTGTGCTGACACTCAGAGACTGCAGCCTGCTTCAGGTTCTGTGTCTCCTCCTCTGTCTGCCCCTCCCCTGCTCACGCTTTGTGTCTGTCTCTCAATAATAATAAATAAATGTTAAAAAAAAAAAAAAGGATTTATAGTGCTAATGGCTATTTAGCTTATGGAGTAACATAAGTCTAAATAATTGTATTTACTTTATAAGAATTAAAGAATGGCATTTTACTTTTGTGATGTTATTATTTATACATATAATGTGATTATTTGTAACAAGATTTTTATGAACCAAATCATAAATCATATTCCCATAATCATTCTAAAAGTTGAAGCTTCCCAAGTATTGTTTCTAGTGTATAGTGAATTGGTAGCATATTTAATTATACTGTAAGAAGTTTTGAATACCTTACTATAAGTAATAGTGTTATAAAACTGATATGTTAGAATTATTGTTTTTATTTACTTAAATAGGAAATGTTACGTGGTCAGAAAAATGTGTTTAAGTCTTAAACTTTACTTTTCTTGGATAACAATTCTTAAAGCATTGTACTTTTTTCTGCAGATTGATCAGACAGCTGATGCAAGTTTTTTGGGCTGGGTTATTGCTTCATTTAGTCTTGGCCAAATGGTAGCTTCACCTGTATTTGGTTTGTGGTCTAATTATAGACCAAGAAAAGAACCTCTTATTGTCTCCATCTTCATTTCGGTCATGGCTAACTGCCTCTATGCATATGTCCACGTTCCAGCTTCTCATAATAAATACTACATGTTGGTTGCTCGTGGATTGGTGGGATTTGGAGCAGGTAATATGTATGTATGTATGTATGTGTTTGGCTGTTCAGATTCACATTCACCCTGAATTCACCCTCTCTCATCTGGTATCACCTCGTCTCAAATCTCATATCTCACTACTCAACATATAGATTTCTCATTGCAAATAGACAAATATCTTTCCTATGATTTTTGCCTTTGTTCATGATATTCCTGTTACCTATAGTTTCTCTATTCTGTTCCCATCATTCTTCATTCTTCAAGATTCTGTTCAAGTTCCACATCTTCCATAAAATTTTCTTAGGTTACCCTACCCCTTAACAGATCTTTCCCATCTCCTGTATGTCTGTGGAACTTGCTTAGATACTGTTTTGCTCTGTTTTCATCTTTTATCACCAACCAGATAGTAAACTTTTTATAATTAGAGACAATTTATGACTTTCTAAAATACTCTGTGGCCTTTCTTGCAGAGTCTCCTGAAAATAATAAGAGCTCAATAAATTTTTTTGAGTCAAATTGTTAGTGGATCTTTTTGTTTCTTATATTACATTTAAGCATGCAGAATTTGTGATGTCTTTGTTTTAAAAATAGTTGTAACGATCAGTAGTTTGCCATTTAGTCAGTGTTTTCTTCATATTTAATAAGAAAAAAAGTTTAACATTTCTGTAATGTCACTTTTTCATTTATTCACATCTTTAATTGTGTTTTCATGTTGCTAAAAGCAAGATTTTCCACTAATTGATACATTTGCTCGATGTATATGCTTTGTATAATCATAGGGAAGAAGCAGTGACTATAATGTAGATTAATATTTTTGTTTTATATAAAGCCAAATTAAGTGGGATTTTATAAACCAAAGAATATTTTCTTTGACTTTGGATTATTGTGTCTTTTCTTAGGAAATGTAGCAGTTGTTAGATCATACATTGCTGGTGCTACTTCCCTTCAGGAAAGAATAAGTTCCATGGCAAACACAAGTGCATGTCAAGCATTAGGCTTTATTCTAGGTCCAGGTAGGTATTTTTCACTTGTCATTGCTTGAATATGAATTGGGAGAACTTTTAAAGTTCAAATGTTAAGTGGAATCCAAGTATAAAACCTCATAGCTAAAAGGAAAAGTAGGGAAGCTAATATTTTTGGTCCAGCAGGAGTCTAGGCTCTTTATATGTGTTAACAAATGTTCTCTAAAGTAAATAATATTAGTCCCATTTTACAGATTAGGACATCAAGGCATAGAGAGTCTAAGTAAGTTATTCAAGGTCAGCCAGATAGCAAATGGGAAATATGAGATTCGAACCTAACTATCTGTATGTTCTGTGAAATAATCATTTAGCTTGACATCTCCATTATAGTTAGCTTTTTTTCTTGTCTATTAGAAACAAAATTCTTTAATTTTTTCTTTTTTGCTTTTGGAGAGCAAGTACACCTGTACATGTGCGCAAGTGGGGGAGGGGAAGAGAGAGATAGAAAGAGAATCCCAAGCAGTCTCCACACTCAGTGCAGAGACCAATGTGGGGCTCGATCCCATAGCTGTGAGATCATGAGCTGAGCTGAAATCAACAGTTGGATGCAAGGGGGGGCCTGGGTTGCTCAGTCCGTTAAGCATACGACTCTTGATTTTGACTGGGGTCATGATCTCACGGTTGGTAACTTAGAGCCCCAAAGCAGGCTCTGTGCTGACAGTGCAGAGTCTGCTTGGGATGCTCTCTCTCTTGCTCTCTCTGCCTCTCTCCTGCTTGTGCTTTCTCTCTCTCACACACAAAATAAGTAAATAAACTTAAAAAAAAAATTGCAAAGTTGGACACTTAACCAACTGAGCCACCCAGATAGCCCAGAAACAAAATTCTTCTGACTGAAGGATTTGAGGAAAGTTATAGGAGATTCTTTACTCTTGTGCTCTTTGCCCATACCTTTCAGACTTTTCTGAGTTTGAAGAAAATGAGAGAATTTTTGAAAGACTACTGAAAGACTGTTCTTCAAAGCCTCCATCCTTTAGCTGAGTGTAAAACAATATTAATAAGACTTAATACTTCCCCAAGACAAGTAAGTTTTTGCTATTAGATAAATTAGTAATTTTTATGCTTAGAAAAACATTGAAGGGACACCTGCGTGGCTCAGATGGTTAAGCATCCGACTCTTGGTTTCAGCTCATGTCATGATCTCACAGTTTGTGAGTTGCAGAGCCTGCTTGGGATTTTCTCTCTATCCCTCTTTCTCTGCCTCTCTCCCCACCCCTTCTCTCTGTCTCTCTCAAATATAAATTTTTAAAAACCTTAAAAATTTTTAAAGAAGAAAAAAAGAAAAACATTGAAAAATCATATAATTTGTTCATGCTTTGAATATTACAGTTATGAATACCATCACTTTGAATCCAGTTCCATTTACTTTATCATTAATATCCTACCCTCACCCCTCTTTCCATTACTTTCTTTAAAATTTTTTTTAATTTTTCTTGAGAGAGAGAGACAGAGAGACAGAGATAGCACAGACAGGGGAGAGGCAAAGAGAGAGGGACACACAGAATCCAAAGCAGGCTCCAGGCTCTGAGCTGTCAGCACAGAGCCCGACTCGTGGCTTGAATCCATGATCCACAGGATCATGACCTGAGTCGACATCGGATGCCCAACCAACTGAGCCACCCAGGTGCCATTCCATTACTTTCTTTTAGAGAGCCAAGAAAAAAGATAATCCAATTTATCTTTCACGAAAAATCTAATGTTTCAGTTTATTATTTGGAGTAAAATATACATAACAAATGTAGAATCATTGGATCTACTGCCATATCATAAAATGTATGAGGATATAGCCTGGGTCTTTTCATTTACCACTCTAACCTCAGTATCTAGCACAGAACCTGGTATACACCTGGTATATGTTCTCAGTAAATAAATAAGAAGTATTTTGGAGATTAAATAATGATAAAATAAAAGAGGTAGAGGCATATAATAGATCTCATAGCATTTTAGAACCAAGAATGGCTTAAGAAATTATTTAGCTTAACCCCCTTTATTTCAGAGCCAAGAAAATGGAGGTTCAGAGACAGTATTAGCTATTTCAAAGGCAGACAGGGAATTGGGGAAAAAAAGACCAGCACTAAAATTTATATCACCTTGTTCATTGATTTGCCACATTTTCAACCTGAGAATAAAAGAAATAATCAAAAAGAAAGATTATCTCATTTAAATATTTTGTATTATCTTTAGATGAGTAAATGTAGGCCTGAAAAAGATTAGATGCGCTTTCCTGTAATGACCACATTAACAGCACTAGCATTTATTGAATGTCTACTATTGTTAGATGCTGTTCTAAGTGTTTTACGTGTAATGTCTTACTTCATCCTTACCTTAAGGTTGCAAATTATTGGAAGAGCCAGATATAGAATCTAAATCAGGAAAGCAAACCAGTTCTCTTCCAAGCTGATTTTTGCCACAGATCCAAATTTAAAAATATACATGATTTAAATACCATATACACAATGATGATTTGAAATATTAACTTAAAATGTGACATTCTACTCCTTATAATTAAATTGTAATTTTATATGGAAGAAATTGGATGATTTAAATTTTCTGTGGAGATTTTTTTAAATAGGAAGGTACTGACAAATTGCTTTAGATATAATTCTTTGTGAATGTATATCAGTGTTTCTGAATCTTTTTCTCATTAATGTCCCATTAAGGAGCTTTTTTAGACATTTTTTTCCTAATTCCACAGATCAATTGTATATCTTTTATGGACTATGTGAATATCCATGCCTTATACAGAAAAAGAGTAAATATTTTGTTCCCTTGCCTCTATTGAGATGTGTGATGTAGATGTGAGATTCCACAAAGTTGCTTCCAATTTTGTAGTAAATGTCTTTCACATTTTTTAGCCCTTGCCTCCCACATAATAATTTATCTGTATACATTTTATTTTATATTTTATTAAGTTTTTCAGACTTGTTTTGCACTCATTGGAGAAAAGGGTGTGACATGGGATGCCATTAAGCTGCAGATAAATATGTACACAGCACCAGTTTTACTTGGCGCATTCCTGGGAGTTTTAAATATTATTCTGATCCTTACTCTATTAAGGTAAATCAGATAGAAATTATAAAACTACTTGTGTAGATTGTGAAATTAAATAAGCATGATCATTATTGGAAGATAATTATTCCTATGAAGTCTTTATTTGGTTTTTGATGTCTATAGTTGTGTTCATGTTTTTTGATCAGCTAATGCATCTAGTACTTGTAACGGAAATAATAGGCAATCTGATAAATGAGACTAGATTATAAAGTCTTTGAAGATTCAAAGTTTGGTCTTGATTTACTAACTGTAGGTTTCTAAGTACGGGAATGGCATGAAAGCACAGTTTTAAGTAGATTAATGATTGGTATCAACCTTAAATACAAAAGTTACTTATATCTTTTATTTACTAGAAGAAATTTTATAAAACTACAGAAGTTTTATTACTTTGTATTTCTTTGGAGTGCTTTATTGAAGGCCCCAAAAATGTTTATAACAAATGTTTAAAATCACCGGAAAACTTTAAATATTTATTAAGGTAGTTCATGTATGCTTTTGGATGAATATTGGATTGAATATTATGCTTCATTTTATATGATAAGATAATAAGAATTATAACTTGTATCTTTTAAATTTTGTTGGTTATACCTCATTGGTAATAATTTCATTACTTAGCAGTTAGTAAAAGAAACTATATCAGAATGTGAAAAAATAAAGAAGGCTACTAATAAATTAAAGCCATTTATCTATCATAGTAAGTCTTTCATAGATGCAATATTTATGTTTTTCTTTTTAAGAGAACATCGTGTGGATGACTCAGGACGACAGTGTAAAAATGTTAATTTTGAAGAAGGTACTATGACCCTTTTGACTAAATTACTATAACATTATCAAAGTGTTTCCGATTATTCTGTCTGTTTGGTATTTACTTGGATTTGCTTCTGAAAACAGTACAATGGGTGATTGGGGTAGGATCTTCAAAGTTAAAAGTTACCTAAATTAATAATTTTTTTAAAAGGCCTTCCCAGATCAGTTATTTGGTGTTCATGGCTGGCAAGATTAAAAGCATTGCTAAAAATCACTTCATCTTCTTTGCAAAGAGCCAGTATCCTAAAACCCTACAGTTCTTTAGAATGATTTCTGTAACGTTCCTGTAAAATGTATCTTTCTGTTTCAAGCATTTCTTTGCTCCCTTAATCATGGAAATAGGTTTCTCTTTTGTATTTTTATTCTTTTGGTACACGCTACAAATGTACATTTTCATCCCTTAGATCTTTCTTTGACTTAGAAGTAAGTAACCAATCTGGTCAGTAGATATGTCTTCCTAAGTAAACCCTTATTTAAGTACTAATTATATTCTCCATGGGGAGTGTCCCCCTCTGTACAAAAGATTGCAACTCAGTTCTTGCCTTTAAGGAGTTTGTTCCTGGGAGTTTTAAATATTAGAAAAGTTGTGGAAAAGACATAGTATCTTCTATAGCCATTTTATTTAATTTTCACAACAAAACTAGTGGAAGGAAAGTTGAAAGTAGGGTAGAGAGCAGACTGGTGAAGAATGTTAGTAACTTTTTGAGAAAAAGGAGAAGTATGACAGTAGTCAGATTTCAGGTGAGACTAGTCCAGATGTGTGAAGGCCTGAACTAGGGCAGCAACTAAGAATGGAAAAGAGACAGATGTGAGTTTTTGAAGAAAAAAAAATTAAGATTCTTGATAGATTGGCTAGGAATTATTAAGGAATAGAGGGAGTTGTTGAAGATGTCTGTCAGGTTTTGAGTCTAGATAAGTGAAAGAATGGGAGAGAACAAGAATTTAGGAAAGGACATTCGCTGAACAGAGAAAATGATTTCAGTTTGAATCAAGCTAAATATACTGCTACACTAGAACAGCGAGAAAATGCCAGAGGCATTTGTAATTTTGGCTTTAGAGATCAAAGCTAGAGATACAAATTTCTGAGTAAGCCACTGAAAAACACGACAGCAACAAAGAGAGAGTGAAAGAAAAAAGGAAAGGGAGGGGTACATGCATCAAGTGTGACAAAATATTGTTGAATATAGGGGCTGAATATATATTTCATATTTTTCAAAATAAAAAATGAAAGAAAAGAAAGAATGGTGAGGAAGTGCCCGCAGGGGGTATAAGCCGCTTTTTTTTTTTTTAAGGTGAAAAATAGGGTACTAACTTAAAAGACCTATCAGGTAAAAGGAATGAGCAAGTTAAGGAGGGTGAGTTTGAGGTGCTGAGAAAGATATGTAAGAAGCAAAATCTTTCAGAAGTTGGAAGGGGGTAGCAATATCGATTAGGACTTCATGGAGTTTAATGTGCTTCAAAAACACCTGGAAACCTTGTTAAAATGGGTTCTGATTCAGTAGGCCTTGGTGGGGGAGGGGTCTGAGTGGGTTGTCAGATTAAATACAGGATGCCCAGGAGAATTTGAATACTTTTTTAGTATAAATATGTCCCGGCTGGGTAATTTTGGATTTCAGATAAGGAACAAATAATCTTTTAGTATAGATATGCCTCAAATATTTCATGGGACATTCTTATATTTAAATTTCAAATTTTGCATGGAAAATACTTAAAATTATTGTTTATCACAAATTCAAACTTACCTGAGTATCCTGTATTTTTATTTACTAAATCTGGCAAACCCAGTGAGATTCTGAGAATCTACATTTATAGTAAGCTATCATGGGAGCTGATGCTACTGGTCTAAGGACCATAGCAAAGATTTGGAACTATACTGTCTAATATGGTGGCTGCCAGCCACATTTGGCTATTTAAATTTAAATTAAGCTAAATTACATTGAAGAAATTCCTCAGTCACACAGTAACACTGTAAGTGTTTAATTACGGGTCTGTGGCTAGTGGCTGTTTGGACAGCACAGAGAAAGAACATTTCCATCATGTCAGAGTTCTATTGCACAACACTGCCCTAAAGCACAAATGAGAGTTTAGAAAGACCAGATCTATTTTCTTTCATAATATTTCTAGGTACTTCAAAATAATTTCTAAAACAGAAATCATTTTTAAATTTCAGTAAATATTGGGGCGCCTGGGTGGCTCAGTCGGTTAAGTGTCTGACTTCGGCTCAGGTCATGATCTCACGGTCCTTAAGTTCAGGCCCCGCGTTGGGAGCTGACAGCTCAGAGCCTGGATCCTGTTTCAGATTCTGTGTCTGCCTCTTTCTGTCTCCTCCCCCGCTCATGCCCTGTTTCTCTTTTCTCAAAAATAAATAAATGTTAAAAAAAAATTAAAAAAATTTTTCAGTAAATATTTAAATAAAATATTTCTGCTTTTTCCCCATTATTAAAAATGTTATCATTGGATAGGATCATAATTGCTAATTACATAGTTTTTGAATCAATATATTAGTGTAGTCTTTTCCTAAAATTCTTATAATTTTGATACCCAGTCAATCCTCACAATCTAGGATGCAACATTTCTGAGCTTTCCCACTGAAGCCATCACTGGGTAGAGGCTGCAGGAAACTAACCATATATGATGCAAACTCCAGTCTAACTTGGGGCAATGTTGCTTTTTAATTCAAAGGAGTAAAGACTGGGTTCAAGGTGGTAACAGAGAATCAGGCAGGTCTGTCCCGAGTAATATAAGGTCCACAAGGACCAGAGTCTATCCCGGAAAAGGATCTGAACAAAGGTGACCAGTTTTCTTTGTGCCATTAGAAAGGGAGGTCATAACTCTTTGTTGAGTGTTCAGGGTGCTTAATTGTCCCCAGATATAGCAGACTGTTTCCAAGTCTCATTTATTATTGGAGGAGGAACTCCTTGTCAGGAATCCTGAGATATAAAGGGAAACGCTATTATGAGAAAAATTATAGAAACTTACTGTATCTTGGGAAAGTAGCCCCGTGCCCCCTGCTGGTGTTACATACACACTTAAAGATAGCATAAAATGAAAACATTATTGAATTACTTGTTTGGTTTACTCTGAATAAGTAGGTAAATTGTAAAATAGCATTACAAATGTATATAAGTAGGTGTATTTCACTTCACACTTCTCAGTTATATAAGGAATAACTAATATTGAGTATGTAGCTTAATACATAGTTTAAGATAAGTCAATATGCTCACTTCCTCCTAATTTATAAAAGCACCATCAAATCTTGGTGGTAATTTACAAAATATATTTGCTTGCAAAAATATAAATGATAATATAAGGATTTTTTTAAAACTGTGGTAATAACGTATAAGGATATTTACTCATACTAATTTCACATAACATTGAAATTCAAAATACATATCCACTGAAGTGAATCACAGAACTAGCTGATTTAATAAACTATGAAAAAATCCTCATAAATTTAAGATTTAGGTAAAATAGAAAAAAAAACTTGCAGTAGAAATTTAAAGCAAATATATTTAGAATGAGCTCATTTTATAGAATTTTATAAAATATATTCCTATTTTGGATCAAGAGACAGCAAATAGAAAATCTGAGTATTTCCTATAGATAACAGAATTGAAGTATATCTCCTGGGAAGAAAATTCACGTTATTTTTAAAAGCCATTTTGGCACGCCGCGGTGGCTCAGTCGATTAAGCGTCTGACTTCGGCTCAGGTCATGATCTTGCGGTCCGTGGGTTCAGCCCTGTGTCTGTTCTGTGTTGACAGCTCAGAGCCTGGACCCTGCTTCAGATTCTGTGTCTCCCTCTCTCTCTGCCCCTCCCCTTCTCGTGCTCTGTCTCTCTCAAAAATAAATAAAGATTAAAAAAAATTTTTTTAAGCCATTTAAAAATTACTTCTATGGTATAAATTGTTACTTTTAAACCACTTAGAAGCCTAAAAGTGATTTTAAATATTTAGTCACAGAATTTGCTACATATAGTTTCTAAATTATTTTAGTGTCATAAGAAAAATTAGATGTTTAAGTAATACAATTTTTCTCCTGTTTATTACAGCAAGTACAGATGAAGTTCAGTTTCCCCAAGGAAATATTGATCAAGTTGCTGTTTTGGCCACCAATGTTCTGTTTTTTGTGGTTCTATTTATCTTTGCCCTTTTTGAAACGTAAGTTTTATTCTGTCTTCATTTATATCATATTATGTAAATCATCTGTATTAATGCAATATTAATAGGCTTATCGATATTCTCAGAAACTTTATGGAAGGCATACGTTTTATCATGATGTAAAAAGTACACATAAATTTTATGCTTTTAACCTGAATATAGTTAATTCCCTGTCTATAATATTACTTTATCTTTCCTCCCTTTCTTGGAATTTTATGATAAATATAGTTATAAAACTTTAGTGCCATGAGTAAATTAACTTTAAGCTATATAACTCTCTATGTATATGGAGTTCAGCCTGGCAGTGTTAACTCTATTTAACATCTGATCCTGATCCTGAAAAAAAAACTAGTATGATATATTACAAAATCTCTGCCTTGTGTAAGCTTTGTTGATCTTTAGTTATCATATGGCTTTTTTATTTTTAAAATGCCTTTCCATTATGTTATAAAAATAATATATTCTTGGTGTAAATATGCTAAACACTGCAACTGTATTTCCATATCCATTTCTTTCCCTGGAAGTAACCACTGCTAATACATCATTGTGTAATTTTTCAAATATTTTTTCTATACAACTGTAAGTACTAGTTGTACTTACATGTGTAAGTACTCATATGTGCTATTATGTGTGTGTGTCTATTAAATCAACATAGACTATGTGACATTATCATTTGAAAATTTGGTTTATTCTTTCGTCAATACGTTGTAACATTTTTATGCCAATACATATAGATTTGCTTGATTTTTATTTTTTTTAGTTTATTTTTATTTTTAAAATTTTTGAGATATGTGAAAGTTTCAGTTCATTTGATTTTGGGGGCATTTTTAAAAATTGTGGTAAAATGCACATAACATAAAATACATCATTTTAACTATTTTTAATCATACAATTCAGTGGCATTGAGTGTATTCACAAATGTTGTACAACCATAACCCCTATCCATTTCCAGAATCTTTTCATGATTCCAAACAGAAGCTCTATCCCCATTAAACAGTAAGTCCTCATTCCCCCTCACCCAGCTCCTGGGAGCCTTTATTCTACTTTTTTCAATCTAGGTACCTATATAAATGGAATCATACAACACATTTCCTTTTGTCCTTTGTGCCTCGCTTATTTCACTCAGCATGATGTTTTTAAATGTTCATTCCTGTTATAGCATGTATCTGAATTTCATACCTTTTAATGGCTAAATAATATTCCATAGTCTATATATACCAATTTCATTTATTCATTCATCTATTGATGGACATTTGGGTTATTTCCACCTGTGGGCTATTGTGAATAATGCTATGATGCTGTGATGAATGTTGGTGTACAAGTATCTGTTTAAGTCTCTGCTTTCAGTTCTTTTGGTTGTACACCCAGAAGTGGATTTGCTGGATGATATAGTAATTCTATGTTTAAGATATTTAGAATTCACCAAACCATTTTCCACATCAGCTGTTCTGATTTTAAAATTTAAAATGGTGGTGTTCTTTTGTTTTTAAAGAATGAATATTTTAAATATATTTCAATTCCATTTTGCATCCAGTTAACACAGGAGATACAAAATAGGAAACGAAGCTTGGCAAGGAAGGAGACAGATAGTCAAATAAAGGAAGAGCAACATTCAGAGGTAGGAAGAGAGATATATACATTCAAAGATAGTGATAAAAGAGACTAAGGAAGAGAAAAAGTCCCAACAAGTTTCTAATAACCTAATAATAGTAACATTACTATTATTATATTATTACTTATTTCAATGAAATAAAAAAGAAACCACTTTAAACCAAATTTAACCATGATTAGTTAGTTAGAAGGGTAGGAATTATGGTTGGTTTATTTCTTTTCCCGTCTTTTAGACTTTCTGCAACATGGATATGTTACTTATATAATTAAAATAAATATTAGTAAATAAAAATACAATCAAACTTAGTAGTTTGTGCATGTAACAACTAAATGTGTTAAAAAATTTTTTTATATAGAGAGCTGGTATCTTTGCTAAAAGAGATGCAAATTCTTGAATGTGTCAGTATCATTATTAAAGCTTCTATTTCACTTTTATAATGACTATGATTTAAATAAATAACAATAATTTGTTTTTCTTAGCATCGTTACTCCATTAACAATGGATATGTATGCCTGGACTCGAGAACAAGCTGTATTATATGATGGAATAATACTTGCTGCTCTTGGAGTTGAGGCAATTCTTATTTTCATGGGGGTTAAATTACTTTCCAAGAAGTAAGTTATGTGTCTTTGGTTTTGTTTCACTCAATTTTAAAATACGCTTTTAAAAAAGTCTTTTTTAAAAAAGGGAAACATGGAATGAATCCAACACCTCACATCACCTTCAGAATACCTACAAGCCTTCACATCTTTCCAACCTGATCTCCCATTGAGAAGCTAACAATGTAAACAAATGTTATCTCTCCATTGAAAGCTAATAATATAAACAATTATGTTAGTAAAATAAAATAATAAAGCTTTTCTCTCATTATATATTAGTTTTAGTACTTGAGTGTTTGCGAACAGATTTAAAGTTTATTAAGGGAGCACATATTTCTATACCATATGGTATATTCTTTGGTAAAGCAAGATATTTTACCAAGTGAATTAATTGTCTTCTAATGTATCTTTTGTATATTATGTTTTATTTAAAGTATTTCTAAAAGTGTATTTTATAAAACTTTGTTCTGCTGTATATATATGTATGTGTGTATATGTATATGTATATATTTATATATATTATATGTGTGTATATGTATATTATGAAACAGAAAGGATTTAGTGGTTAAGTCTGGAAAATTGTGCTTAAAATTGCCAAACTTCTTTATCCAAAACTTCCAAATCTTCAGTACTTATATATATTATCATAATGACAAATATATTATGTAGCATAATATAGTTACTGTACAAAGTTGTTTGTAGCTTTGACTATAGACCATTATTTTAAAGAAGCATTTTGTAAAGCTACAACCGTAAAAAACACGCTTTGGGGGAAGTGCTTGTATAAAATTAAATTCATTCATGTTGTCCGAGATGAGACATTCGTTGATGACTTTAAGCAATCCTAACAATTTAATTATTCTTAAAATATTTTAATGATACTTTAGAATTTTATAACGTTCTAAAATCAATTAACACATCTTGATTCAGTGTGTCAGGTTATGTGCAATGGGGGGGTACTATGAAGATTTCTGTGTGTATAAAGCCAAGAAGCAGGGACAAGATACAGATATAGACATAGACATAGATTTATATTCAAAATTAAATAACAGTAAATGCATTACATCTTGCTATAGAAATAGGTATTCTTACAGATTGTCCAATTCCATACCTTCAGAGAGCTTGTGTTCTATTGGGTGGGCAAACCAATAAACAAAAATATGAAGTCAGGTAATGGTAAATACTGTGAAGAAGAATGGAGCAGAGGAAGAGAATAAAGAGTAGCAAGAGCAGGGTTGGGAGAGAGAGTGGCAGTGTTATTTCGACTGACTGCTCTAGGAAGGCATGTTTGAAGAAGTTACATCCAATCAGAGACCTCAACAAAGTCAGAAAACAGTCATGCAGGGGGTCTGGAACTCTCTTCTTCCAGAAGACTGAGCTTTGTGTGTTTAAGGAAAAAGCAGGAAGGCAAGTTTGGCCAGAGCAGGAAAGAAATGGCAATGGGAAAAGATCAGGTTGGAAAGATGTGAATCCTAGGTATTCTGAAGGTGATGTGAGGTGTTTGGGTTTGTTTATTTTGTTTTAGGAAGTCGTTGGTCTTGTTTGTAAATTTCATTTTTTATTATGGAAAATTTCTAACATATACAAAGGTGTAGATAGCATCATGTACTGAATTTCTAATATCCATTACCCAGCTTCAATGATTACCAATCCTTGAATAATTGTGATTCATTTATATAGTTCTACCCGCTCCACACTCCCTATCCCCTATACCTAGATTATTTTGAAGCCTGTCCCAGATATCATTTCATATCTTCCATAAATATTTCAGTATGTATCTCTAAAAGTTCATGATGACAACATTATCACATCTAAAAATGTTAACAGTGATTTCTAAATATCATCAAATATCCAGGCAGTATTCAAGTTTTCTCCACTGGTTTAAATGTTTTTTTTTAAATTTACTTTGTTTTGTTTCATATTGTTTTATTTTGTTTCACAGCTTACTTGACTCA